CACCTCTCTATTCAGTCACGGCTCTCTGCCGTGACAGGAGAGGGGCTGGATTCCCCCCGCTCCGATCCGCCAGCGCTGACTGGCGGAACGGAGGGGGGAGGGGGCGGGTAAAGCTGGCTCTGCCTCTAGATAGGCAGAGCCAGCGGTCAGTCACGCAGCTGGGCGAGCAGTATACCACGAGCAGGAGCTCGCGGTATACTGCGGCGTCTCAGTATACCGCGAGCTGCAGCTCGCGGTATACTGAGCCTAGGGTGACGGGAGGACGCTAGTTTGTGTCCTCCCGTTACCCTAAGGAGAACTATGGGGAAAAGCCGTAACCCCATAGTTCTCCTTTTAAGTTTTATGCTTTGTGACTGTAAACATGTAACAAATATCTCACAGGTGTTATCCCAATTTGGCTGCAAAGAAAGGAAAATCCCAGAACCAATGTCTCCACTGGAAGATTTACCATCTATTCCTGTCCTGTTAAAAGTCCAAAATCTGAGAATCTTTAACTTTCAGTGATAACATTCACCAGGACAAATCGAGAGTGTGAATCTCCCTAATGGAAGTCCATAAACCCATCACACTCCTAACCGTCTAGTCCCTTGATGATAGCAGGTGCAGCGGTGACTAACTGATGGCACTGTGATAGAATATATAAATGTAGGACATCGGCTCTCCAAGATTACAGATGAATATGTCTTTTATTGACGTATATGTTCATGTAATCACATTACAGTGACCTTTCCAGGGTCACACAGTATCCCCTTAGTCAGGCAAAACCACGTGACCATCACAAAGTGAAGGGAAATCTTCCCAGTAAAATACAGATGAGGGAAAAAAAGAGTTGACAGAGGTAATAACCTCCCCTTTCTCTATCCAAAACTAACAAAATGTTTTGGCCTCAGTTCTACTTTGAGAAAAATATTCAAACATTGCTGCTTCCATTTTTTACGTGCTTTTTACTTGCTTAACCAGCCTCGTAGATGTGAGTGGGCGTCTTAAAACGTCCTTTGTGCCCGCACGGGCGGGAAGCTGCCAAAAGTTTAAACGGCAAGGGATGGCTGTTTTACATACAAGCGGTCCGGCGTCTGTAGAGCCGCCCGATCGCTTGCATGTTGTGCCTTTGTTAGTCTAAGAAAACCTCTTTAGGTTAAAGCATACAACAATTATACATCGCAACTTACCAGTCTTTGTTAGGGTTTCTTTTATTTATTTTCACTTGGTAATGCTGCAAATAACATACTTCCTATCCCTGGATGACTACGCTCACTCCACTGTATCTGTGGCTGCCAGGACAGGACTACAAACGCATCTTCCTCTTTTTGTCTCCATTTCATGGGAGAGGGGGAATTAGTAGTTTATAAAAGATAGCTTAATATTATATCAGTTATATATTAGATAGATAAAGATATATCAGTTCAATTCACATTACAAAGTTTACATTTCTAGCAAGATTAACAGGTATTTTCTGTTCTTGCCTGACAAATGAAAACTAATGCAACCATGACATTTTTTTTTTCTTTTTCATCAAACCATGGCATTTTAGGACAGGTGCGCTGCAATATTGAATTTGTGTTTATTGGGCGTGGCTATCTTTTAAAGAAGAACTCTGGGTAGAAAAACAAACAACAACTTACCTTTGCAGTTAGGCTACCCTGGACACATGTCAGGGCTGGAATAAAGCAGAATTTCTCACCAGATCCCAGCTTCCTCCCAGCTGCTTGGCTGGTCTCTGCAGCCTCTTCTCCCCTGGGCTTCGGTGGTCTAAGGACAGCTGACATCATCACGTCTTATGGATGTCCATTGACTTGCATTAGATTTAAAGATGCTGGGGGACAATCCATAGCCGAAGCAGAGGCAGAGAGAGGCAAGTGCTCACTGACCACCACAGGAGCCGGAATCAGGAAAGTGAAACAGCTTTATTTGAGCCCCCAAGACAAACTGATTACTTAACCCTTGCTGTGTGAGGGTAGCTCCTTTTTTTTTACCTGCTTAGAGTTCTTTAATTGTGATAGCAAGTAATGCAGTTTGTCAAATTACCAAATTAAAAAAAATCTACCCATTTACTTTCCGGATGTTTGTCTGTCTGACTAGTTTCCTCTAATCCTTCACTTACCGATGCAGTACGTGATTGTTGGCATTTACTTTCAGGTGCGGCCAGTGCAGTTCAACATTCCATTACGTATATATTGTGGGACTCCAGTACTTTGTACACCTGGTGAAGTAATATACTCGTCAGCAACGTATCGCTTTTTAATTGTCTATTAATCAATGTTTAAATGGGACTGAGACGCTTCATGTATTGTTAATGGAATGAGACTTCACTGTGCACATGTTGCTATAGCTTTAGTCACTGAGCTGCAAGAGCTAATTGTACACTATTATTGTTTTCATAATTTTCTCCTATACTGTTCAATTTACAAAATATATAATACTTAGGTGTGGAGTTGCTACTTTTGTACTTTCAATGATCAATTCAAGGAGAAGTATTGGGAGGGTAAAACTTATTCTTCCCAATACTTAGAGCTGGCGTGTGACACGGCAGCTGTATGATCATGTCAACTGCTCAGCTCAGGACTTCGCCCTGCAGAGAATAGTGGTTGTTGGTCACTGCTCACCTCATGGATTCCCTTCTCTGTTCCTCCAGCACTCACTGGAGGGACAGGGAACGGGGCGGGCACAGCTGGCTCTGGCTCTAGAGAGAATGAGCCAGCTGTCAATCAAGCACCAAGGTGGATCACAACAATATTGTTGAGATCCTTCATAAGTGAAGTGTGGCTCTGCCCTGCCAGCATATAGCAGGAAGTAGCCTGCTATATGGTGATTCGGGATCACAGGAGTTTATTAGTAAAAATAATTCTGTGACCCAAAAGAGAAGTAAGCTGAAAGTTTTGCTTTACTTTTTAACTATTAAAAAACCTTGTACTTTCCTTTGTAGACATCTCATTGAAATTCAGTTATTGCCAACCTGAACGTGGTGATATTTTAAAGTGTATATACACCCAAAATCAAACGCTGTACAATAGAAATAGAAAGCACTGCAGCTTAATTTGTATTTCTACTGCTACTTTGCAGTAAAATTTGAGAAAACCCGGCTATCGGGGGAATTCAGTAAAGCGTGTACCACAAGCGTGTAACCTTTGCCTAATTCATGAAAGCCTTGAGACAGTTTTTGGTTGCAGTTCCGACATGTGCGACAGTTTCAAAGGCGCTTACAGTGGGCGAAGCCTGATGGGAAGCTCTGAGAGACTAGTTCATCATCAGGTCCATCTCCCATATGATCGACAGCAGGCAGTGGGCATATTCCATAGCCAATGCATGTTCTGCCATTGACTATGGAATCCAACTACTGCCTGCTGTCAGTAGCAGAAGCAGTTCCTGCTGGATAACTAGTCCCTTGGCATCCCTATAATGTTTCACCCACTGCCAGTGTCACTGGTTGTAAATAATACTTTTGTATACACAGTTGAAAAAAGGTATATTCATTTTTCATACAGATCTGGCTCCTGCACTGCTTACAGCATCTAGACCCAAGTTGTCAATGTAGTACTTGCAGTGATAAGCACGGATGGCACCGTGCGTCTTCAAGGTCAGGAAAATGGATGATCACCAGAACACAGGAAATGTAATTCAAATCTTAGTGTTCAGTTATTAGAAACAAAACGTCACATTTGTCAAATTGCCAATGTTTCGGGACTACGCAGGGTCTCTTCATCAGGGCGACAGAGTGGTCATTTGACACATGTGACGTTGTGTTTCTAATAAATGAACACTAAGATTAAGGCTATATTATTTTGGCGCATATATTGCCATTTGCAGTGTGGAAGGACACGAAGACTGGAGTGTCTGTACTGGACACTCCCTCCTCAGTGCAATTCAGTAAAGCTGACCATACACCTTACAATTATCTGCAGATTCTATGGTCAGATGGAAAAGGTGCAACAGATTCCCCCATCTACACCTAACTGTGTGGATGGAGTAATCTCCACCTGGGCCAATCTGTTGCACTTTTTCCATCTGACCACAGAAAATCTGCAGATAATTGTAAAGGTGTATGGGCACCTTAACACTGAACCTGATAAAATCACAGGCTCAGTGTTACTGAGCTCCCTGCCTTGCTACTGCACCATTTACATAGGCAGGTGCAGTATCGGAGGACTAGATAGAGCCGAGGAGTATAGGAAATACCTGTGCTGGGTGGAAGAGTTATACATCTGCCCCTAAATCTTGGAAAGCAACCCTCCGCAATGGAAAATTTGTCTCCTAAAATTAGGTGTTTCTATCTTTCCAGTATGTGCTCGTTGTTTACAAACTGAGTTAAATGAAATCATGTTATGGTCCCTGCTACCCAGATTTCTTTTCATATGAACATTTTTCATCTGTTTGCATCTGCATTGTTTGAGATTACCTTGTCCAGCAGAACACAATTTCTAGATGGCGTTTCTCTAAACTGTACCATAAAATTGTTCTCCCTTTGTACCATTCCAACAGTCCCATTACACCAGCCAATGTGAGAGTAGTTAAAATCACCCATCATTACCACTGTTCCAGTCCCAACTCAGTAATGTAAAGACCCCATGCATTCTACTTTTGTGACCTGAATCTTATGCTTGTTTTATAGCATCTTTACATCTGACATTTCTTGCCATAGTACCCATGGCAGAACTGGATAAAACGTCAGTTCCTATATAACACAGTTAGTTATATGTGCCTGTAAAATAAATGTTTAACTGGATTTTTAGAATATGCCTAATTATTTGGACTGTAATTTTGATAAGGTAAGGTCTCTCTTTTTTTATTATGAGCAAAAAGCTCATAATGGAGAAGCTGGCAAAAGCCTTACAAATCCACATCCTTGTACTGTTTTCTGCCTTGTAATAAGGCTGATCATTCGACTTCATTTCCCATAAGCTTCTTTTAAAATCAGATCTTGCTGGAGACCTCGGCATCATTTCCCGGCCAGTCTCCATGGAAACTCCTAAGCTAAATGATGTGCAGGGACCCGAGCGGAAGGCTGTGCAGCAGGCAGTGGTGGTGTGTGGCCCTGACGTCAGCATCTCAGCTTATTGATAGGGCGATCATGTCAACTCCCATACAGGACGCTTCAACAGTGCTCCTTGATGAAAGCATGCTGCCTACTGCAGGATATTGCACTCGCCTCTCGTGATCTTTCAATTTTCTTTTCGCATCATTTTATTCCACACGTGTCTTACTAGCTTGAAGATGTATTTTATGGTGTCACGGTTCTTTGAAGATTTTTGGACACCAGAGCATGGTGAAAACCGACAGGCCTGGCTGTGCTTTACCTGACCTCGGAAAGGCAGCAGACAGTCGCTTAATTGATGCAATAGGGGACACTGACTATGCAGAAATTTATAGAGGAGGATTACTACGAGCTGGACTGGTGCTACGACGACTGTGCAGATGGTAATAAGGCTTTGTGCTGTTGATTTGGGATCGTGTGTCAGCGATGTCATGCTTGCTGTACAGTAATAACAATGGATTACGAGATTGCACATCATTTACAGTAACAGAAGCAGGGTTATCTGTTCGTACTTACAAACTGTAAGGCTGTATCCAATAATGTCTTCATGACTGGAATTCGACAGTGGAGTGTGGCACAGAAGGGGTGATCAACTGATCTCTAGGTGGTGATGAGTGAATCTAATTTTAAACCATGTGAAGTCATTTTCATGGATGATGGAATGATAAAAAAAAAAAACACAATAGGTTCAGTAGCTCATGATCTGCTTGATAATATGCCAGTTATTTTAGTGGTTGGCAGTCAGTTATTAGGAAATAATTATATACATCTTTGATCCAGCGTGGGTTTAACAATATGCTCTATTGATGTGTAGTAGTCCTAAACAACAAGCTGTGCACGAGAGGAGTGCTGCGTGAGCTGATTTGAATGTAATTTGGTGTTTGAGAATCTGGTCCTCCATGCTGTCATCCTGCATTTGCTAATCTGATGTAATATCTTTGTGAGTTGCAGCAGTATCCTGCAAACTATTGCAGAGGAATATTAGTGTGCTCTTAAACATAATGAAGTGTATAGGAATTTGCAAATGTCATGTTTATTTTCGGTTTTATAATATTACTTTTGTGTTATATGTGCTTTTCCCTGAACCATCATGAAATGAGTGGCCACAGACTCCAGTGGCAGCAACTGTAGTGGCATCTCCCCTCTGTTTGAGCACTGTAACGCTGACCCACACCTTCTGATTTACACCTGACATATCTTCAGACAACTGGATCCAAAAGATTTTGGTTCTATAAACATTGGGTGTTGTAGGAAATACATTATTCGTTAAGTCATTTTGCTACCTGTTTAAAAAAAACATATGTTTTTCCTGTTAGGACCCATTCATACTTGTTCCATATTAATCTCATAATATGGGTGCTCAACACACATCCACAGACCGGAAAACACACTTTTTTTTAATCAGTGCATCGAAAGACAACGCATTTGTTATTGCATGCATTGCGCGTGTGCTGAGGTTCAGATTTGCTTTGCCCATATATGCACATTTGGAGGCCATTGAAATGAATATTAACAAATTGCAATGTGCATACACCTAGGGGTCTATTTATAAACAATTCACAGAGCTATTCACCCTGCAAATCTCTGTGAATGTTCTTTTCAGGTCTAATGTAATGTAATACTGCTTTATATCCACTAGATGGAGCTGAGGAGCATGGGAAATAAATACTTTCCTACTTTTTTGCTAGGCTCCTTGGGTCTAGCTAGTGGCCATAATTCGGTATTACATTACATTCCGTCTTAAAAGAAAATATACTAAAAACATTACTTTTTGCCTCTTTTAACACAGAACGAGCATTTACAGAGATTCATAGAATAAATTACTCTGAAAACTGTTTCTAAATAGACCCTCGGGGCCCCGTTCCCACCAGACACAGTGCGTTCCGGACCGATTCTGGCCAGGACGCACTGCATCGCATTGTGGCCAGCTCACTATGTTGTGGGGCAGGAGCCGGCGTGGCGGTCCATTGAAGTGAATGGCACCGTAGCCACGCCCTCCGACCGCAATGCGATCAGCCGCACGGGAACGCAAGGCACATTATGCTGCCAGCACTACTTTGTTCGGACCGTACCATAGTCATAATGTGCCTTGCGCTCCCGCGCAGCCAATCGCATTGCGGCCGGAGGGCGTGGCTACGGTGCCATACACTTCAATGGACCGCCACGCCTCCTCCTGTCCCACAACATAGTGAGCCGGCTGCAATGCGATGCAGTGCGTTCTGGCCAGAATTAGGCCGGAGCCTAGAGCGAGTACGGCTGGACGCTGTATGAGGTGATTTAATGCAGTTTAAGGCCGTGCTTCCCCCCATCTCTCCTAACTGAAACTCTGTAACTCAGTACGAACTCTGCCTGGGAGAGAATGTGCAGAAGTCTGAGCTTTGCAGCTGTGATCGAGTGATCCCAATTGCAATGCTTTCCAGGCTTGAATGCAAATATTAAAGAAATGCATTTTTTTAATATATATTATTATTTGTGCATTTCTTAAATTTTTGCAAAAGCTGAACTTATCCTTATATATCCATATATGTTGTGGGAGGTAGGCACTATAATAAAGAAATCGCAGGCTCTTTTACCTTATAAATAAATCATTAAACACCATGTACCAATGCACCATTGGTACGCCAATTTAGTGTACCAAAGTGTGTACTTTTGCTACAAGTCTGGCAAAAAAGTGCGTGAGTGACACTAGGACCTTTTTATCGTATTCCAACAAATCTGCTGCACCTTAACTTCAAAGCAGACCATACATTATCAGGGAAATTCACAATCACGTTTACTATAGAAATCTGGAGTTCTTTATCTACATGTTATCTGTGCACCTAATTTATTAGTGCTTAAGACTTGTTTTCTTGTATCTTGCTCCACACAAACCAAATTCACATAGTTCTTATTAGCAAACTTGTTCTTATTATCAGTGACAGGGGAAAGTCAGATTCACAAAGCTGTTCAGACACTTTTCTTAAGGAAAATGGAGTCTGATTAGACCAACATGAGCCTATGCTATCACATAACCATGCTAAAGCCCCTTGCCTGTCAGTTTTTCAGGCAGACCTAATCGGATGCCCAATATAAGTCTATGGGGAGCCGCATGTAAACAGAAGGGCGTCTGTGGACATCTGGTTGCCCCCGACTCCGGGGGCAACCAGAAACAAACCACACAGTTGTGTTTCTCCGGACGTGATTGTGTCGAATCGGGAGTAATCTGATATAAATGGACACAGGTCTGTTTACATCCGATTCCCCATGGACTGACATGGGATCCAGTCAGTTCCATTCCAATTTCCCCCCTCCCCCGTTTCCCCATTATTGTCTGCTTGTACAATCTCCTTTTAGATTTACCACTTTAAACAAGAACTCCAGGCAATCAAAAAAATAACCCTTGCAGTGGGGCTATCTCCGCACTGCGAGGGTTAACTGCTCGTTTTGTTCTAGGGGCTGGAATAAAGAAGATGCACTCACCTGATTCTTGGTCTTGCAGCAGTGACCGTGCACCACTCTTTATCGCTGTGGCGGTGAAATGATCTTCGGCATCCTTGCATCTAATGCAGTTGCATTAGACATGATGTCACAAATCCTTAGACCACCAGAGCCCAGAGTGATACATACTTTAAAGAGAACTATAGGGTAAGTGTTTTTGCCCATAGTTCTCTTTAGGGTCACGGGAGGACATATACTAACCTCCTCCCATGACCCAAAGCTCAGTATATCGCAGGCTATTCCCGGAGAGGACAGTCACCGCTCACTGCAGGGAGACGGTCGGGAATTGAGCGGATCAGTGCATGTTTCTGCTCACTTCCCGATCGATAGAGCCGACCTGTGAAAGCTTCTTTGTCCAGGTCGGCTCTAACTATGAGGATGAGTGGAAATCTCACCTCATAGTTCTCCTTTAAGGCCTTGTTCACACCAAATGCAGACCAAATGCAGACCAGATCCAGGGCCAGTTTTGGTTAAAGTTTAACATGGGCTTTCAGGCACTTGCATGCGTTTTTGATGCGTTCCAGACCAGATCCAGAGCAGGTAAAATAGGGCTTGCCGCATTTTTTTCATCCGGTCTGGATCTGGTCTGGATCCGCACGCTGCAATGTGAACTGGAGGTCAAAATACCATAGGAATACATTGGACGCAGTTTTGATCCGGTCTGCAACTGCTCTGGTCCGGATCTGCTCCGCGCTTGGTGTGAACAAGCCCTAAGTTGTGACGGTGAGTAATCCTGAAATAGTATACATGGCTTTCTAATGTTGGTCATGAATCCTGGGATTCAGTAACCATGGCAACAAAGCAGAGACCTTGTCTACTTTGTCATGTTGATGTACTATATTCAGTATATTGATCTATATAAATTGGTGTTAGTGTAAATCTCATTTTTTTTATTATCAAGAACAGTAAGAATTAGATTTGATTTCTCGAGGAATAGGTTTCAATTTTTCAATTTATTTTCCAGTGGGTTGATGTGTGCTTGTTCAGGCCCTACACTTCTGCTTAATAATTATTCAAATAAGGAAGTGCAAAATACCCAACTCGTGTTGCTTTTTGTAAGTCATAAACATGCTTGTAGTTAGTTCCATAGTGATTTTCAATAGGCATGTCAATTAAAAGCTGCAAGCCTTGCATAAAGATTTACATAGCTTATCCAGTAATCCTCCTCTTGCACCTCTTAAACACTAAGCTGCCCCATTAAGTACTGCATAATATTAGAGTGAGGAAGTCACAAATCCACCTAAGGACTGTACATCTGATGCCCACCCCCAAAACAACTGCTGCCTATTGCAAACAAAGGAAAATTAGTTTATAGTGTATCTTCAGCAAAACCCTTTCCTGAGACAGCAATCAAAACCTAACTGAGGTTCTAGCCCCTATACACTATATCCAATAAAAAGGGAAAGCTTTTCCTTGTGCTATACTTTGAACCAACCAGAGGAATGGTGATGCCGAGGTAAAAATACATTCGGCTTTCTGTAGTCTGTGTACCATCAGAATATTCCTTAAAGTGATATTAAAGTGAAAATGTTTAAAATGTACAATGGATGCTGCTTCTTGATGTTTATAAGTTTTTTAGTTTTGTGCAGATTTAACTGGTCCCCTGAGCACTGGCCCTGATATCCTGTTTTAAGGTGGCTCCTTTCCCTGGCCAGGGCCCTATGGAGCCACCCTTATGGGTGCTAGTAAGCTGTGCGTGTCTCCACAAACACACAGGCGCAGCAAGGCAAGACACACCACTTTTCCCTTCATCCTTATTCCCTTCTCCAGGCTAGTAGATGGACTGGCAGTTGCTGGAGACTGCTCTGTCCCTTGTGATCTTGTACTGGACAGGAAGTTCGGGGAAGCCGAGCTGATAGAGATGGAGTCAACTGTTTGGAAACATGATAACTGTAAGTTCTTGGCC